ACACACACACACACACACACACACACACACACACACACACACACACATCCCCGTAATCCATCATAAAACATGCGTCCACAAAAAGTAACACACCATGCGTTTTCATGCCGACACACTGACGTATCCTAAGCTTTCTCTCTATAACTGTGTTTGTGCTGGCAGTCGAAGTGTTACAATGTGTGGCCTCATGCCTGCTTTGTGATTTACCTCCACATGAACTTAACAGCCAAAGCACTATAGAGGGAATAACAGGAATATGTTACTTTCCGATCGATTATATACGTCTATTATTTATGGGCTGCTGCTGTAGTGATTTGAATTATGGATGTGAATTAGTCTAATGAATTTGTTGTTGTGTGCAGTATGGTGGACAGCGTGGCGTCAGACGACGTCTTTCAGGCCGTGGAGGGAGCCCTGCAAAAATTCCCCTTTTCCTATCAGGGAGCGAGGTTACTCAGCGGCCAGGAGGAGGGCGCCTTTGGCTGGGTCACAGTCAACTACTTGGATGACCGCCTCAAACAGGTCCGCATGTCTGCATGCATGTCCATGCAAGTTTGTCCACTTTTAAGCGTGTTTTCTGTGGATCAGTCAGCGTGCTCCTGCTACCCACGGATTTTAATGCCTTTCTGTTTCTGCTGCAGGGCTTGGAAACCACCGGGGCCCTTGACCTTGGCGGGGCCTCCACTCAGATTAGCTTTGTATCCGATAATTATGACGGCTCAGAGTCACCTAGCAACTCAGTCACCTTCCGGCTTTATGGAAATGACTATAACCTGTACACTCACAGCTTCCTGTGTTACGGGAAAGACCAAGCGCAACGATTGAAGCTGGCACGCCAGACTCAAGTAAATTATTTTCTCTGTTGACATTAATGATGTGTTCAAATCTAATCTAATCTGTGATCATTTGAGATTGAATCATCTTTAAGAGTGATATGAAATATGCAATAATGCTGAATTTAAATCTAATTAGCTTACTCTCTGCATCTCTTACGCCTCTCTATCGTGCTCTCTCTTCTAGTCAGGTCCAAATGCAGTAGCAGATCCTTGTTCCCACCCTGGGTACAATGCAACAAAGAAGTACTCTGTCCTCTATGACAGCCCCTGCGTGTCAGACAGGAAACCACAAAGAGCCCCTGCAACCTTCCACCACACCGGTACAGGAAACTTCCAACAATGCCAGGAAGTCGTTAAAAACGTCTTCAACTTTACTGACTGCAAATACAGCCACTGCTCTTTCAACGGGGTCTTCCAGCCAATATTGCAGGGAGGATTTGGGGTAATGTAACACAGTTATTGAGTTTTATTCATCATTACAAATAAAATATATGTTTTTCTCACTTATATGTAGCGGTATCGAGCCACGCAAATACTTTTTTTGTATTATTTTATCTATGTTTGAGATTCCTGCCACTGCATCACTATAATGTAGGTGAATGGCATTGCATTTGTGTTGCACATTGCATTTTTAACTTTAACTGAATAATCTAGACCTCACTGTAAGGACAGTTTTCCTTGTAACTACTTACTCCCAAAGAAATATTGAGAGTAACAAGAGATGTTGCTGTTGTTGATTTTGCACATGTACGTAATGTCTTAGTCAGTGAGAATAAAACATTTATAAACTGATTACTTTAGTTGCTCAAGATAACAGGATAAGTTAGATTTCCCTTTGCCTCATCTCTTCCTCCCTCTCACTGCAGGCTTTCTCTGCTTACTACTTTGTGATGGACTTCCTCAATCTGACTGATACAACCATCCCTCTGGAAGCTGTCAAGGAACAGCTAAAAGCCTACTGTGCTACTCCATGGGATCAGGTCGGGGCATATTTATGCATCGATTACAAGCACAAAACAAATGTCCAGCCATATTTATCTGCTTTCCTGTCTTAAATCCTGCAGAATGCCTCTACTTAATGATATCACTGCATTTAACCCGCTTGAACAGATAGTGCAGCAGCACCCAAAAGCAAAACAAAAGTATCTGGCTGAGTACTGTTTCTCTGGCACGTACATCCTCACCCTGCTGACAGAAGGATACAACTTCACCTCAGTGACCTACTCCAACATTAAATTCATTGAAAAGGTCAGTAGATCACCGTCCACTCCTTTCCTACCTCACACCTCAGAGCATTAACGCCCTATGGATGTGTGTGCCCTTGTACTTCTATAAGGACAAACATGAATAAATCCGAAAGAGGTCTGCAAACTACAAGAAGCCTACAGGTCGGATCTAACAGGAAGTAACTGTTTCTGTGGCTTCCTGTTTATTCTTTGTTGGCGGCTGAAAACTGTCCGACTTGACCGCAGTTTTTTGTCACCAGGCGATGTACACTTCATCTCGAAACGAGCTGACTTGTTCCATGAGACCAACAGGTCACAATTAACCAATAAGTATCCAGGCAGCAAAACCAACGTTTGTTATGATGACCGCAGAATCGTGCAAAGCAGCAACCAGAAACGTGATACAGTTGTCAAAAAACTTTATCACGTATGAACCCTTCTCATATGCAGTCTATGGTATGAACAGAGCAGTGAGAGGTGTTAATAGTTAGAAAAGCATAACAGACAATAAAACAGGAATTATTAAAATGTTTTACAAATAGATTATATTATAAATTAGTAGAATCAATATGATTTATTTAATATTGTGATTTATCACAGTAGTAAAAGCACAGCCAGCATGCACAATACCAGGACCCAGAAATTGAAGCTGAAAAATCTTCCAGGAAAAAGAAGTATAATCGGTGTGTATTTAGGTTTAGGTTAAAGTAAGTATTTTCTCTGTGGACTTGTATGATAAGAAAACAATTTGATTTCAGGTTAGGGTAAGGTTAGGTTGAACGGTCAAGGTTTCTTTTACCGTCTCCCTAAAGAGAAAATTGTATTGGATTACAGGAATTGCTGCATAAAATAACAAACATGTTATGTTCATGTCACCAGCAGAACATCATGTAGTGATGGTTAAGATAAGATTAGCAGCAAGAGAATGAAAATTGTCCAATCAAATTCTACTTTAGCATAAGTAAAAATATTTATGAAAGTATAAGTGAGTACCCCACACAGTACAGTGTAGCTCCAACCTGTACTGGCCTGCAGTACATCAATAAATGACAGTGATAGTTTTCCCGCTTCCCGTGTTTGTTTACAGATAAAAGGCAGCGATGCCGGCTGGACGCTGGGCTACATGTTGAATCTGACCAATATGATTCCAGCTGAGGCTGCTGACTCTCCCCCTCTGCCCCACGCCGGCTACGTCTCCATAGTCAGCATCATCGCAGTACTGATCTTCATCCTCTTCCTCTTCAGCTTGCGCCCTCTATGGCCCCGCTGCTCCAAACAGCAACAGATCGTATAGAAAACACGTGCGTGTGTGTGTGTGTGTGTGTGTGTACATACGATGTATGTACGAGTGACGGCAAGTGAGGGAATGTTTGTGAGAGCAAGTGTGTGTTGGTGTGTTCTACCAATTTTTGAATAACTCAACTTTACACTTTGCAACTTTTGTGGGGAGGTGAAAGGTCAACGTCTACTGCACATCAACAGTCCTGCAGCTCATGTGGATCCAATGACATTCCAGAAGGACAAATACTTCCTCTACTCTTTCTACAGAGTGAGTGTTGCTTATCCGGTTGAAGGACAGTTTTTGTGTGTTGTGTGGGTGTGTATGTATGAATTTGAATGGGTGGTTGAGTGTATGCGTACCTATATCAGTCTGCATGTGTCTTGAACTATGATGTGAATATGATACTGTAATGTATAAATAAATAAAATAACCCATGTTTATATAAAATGTTTGAATCGCTTGTCATTCGTAAAAATATAATCAATTAGAAAATGTTTAATGTTGCATGATTTATTTACATTTTATGCAGAAAGCTGATTGGATTTTATAAAAACTACCATGACAAAGTTTTGCTCTCGATTAAAAGTAGAAAATTGACAATGAAAACAGGAGCAAAATGATCTTTGGTAGACACATTATATCCTTTTATCTATTGTAATTTGAACCCATTTTTGTTTCATTAGCTCATGAGTGAAATAGATAATTTAAAAAAGCAACATGCTCCCTCACCCTCAGTTGTGACAATGACACATTCTTGCATAGTTAAATGTTTTATGAAACTTTCCCCTGAGCAGCATTAGAGATAAAATCCCAGTAGCAAAAAACTCAAGTAACTCTTTTGTGTATAAGATGCCAGTGCTGCCCTCTAGTGGTGAGAGGGCACACATTACATGATGATTACCACATTGAGATATATATTCAATGTCCAGTTTATGAGGTACAGTGTAAGACAACAGCCTCGCAATACATCTTCCATCTTCCCTTTATGGAAAGCATAATTTTTGTTGTTGTTGAAATAGTTTTAGAAAGACATTGATTCAACATTATGATAATTATGGAGGCTGCAGTTTGTGGTGCTGTTGAACTATTTTGCATTATACTGAGAGGTTTCTATTATTTTATCCACCCAATTCACATCAATAACCTTTTCTAGGAATCCTATCACATAATGTACAGTAGGCCAACTGATGGCAACGCCTGATTCCCCTCTAGTGCTGCTATTCATCTTCCAACAAGAAGGCAAATTTCCTATGCAAATACCACCATAGATTATACAAAGTGCTAAGAGCGGGTGTGAAATCCTCAAGAGCAAACTGTGCCACTTTGGAATTACGCATCAAGGCTTTGGCAGGAAGTGGAACCTTGTGGGGCTTCCCTCCGTTTGGGGGCCCAGCCCTTCCTCTGTGTCACAGATAGAGCTCTTATCTGCAGGGAATGGGAGCTACATGAGAAAACAATGCCATCCAGATAATCTGTGGGTGGTTCCTGCTGTGGCGCCACAAAACGTCTGTTGGTGTTGGCAATTGCAGAAAGTGATTAAGTGACCCAGCTTACACGTACATGTACACACAAGTGTGCTCAGGCTCCTTTTGACCTCATGCATAGACATTTCGAGGTCAAAGCCTGAGCAGTCATGATTTTGATTGCAATTTCCAGACAATCTGTCATCTCAGTTTGCTGTTGGCAGCAGATCCCGATGGTGGGGTGTAAGGCGTTGACTTGCTATCCAGCCGTAGGGACGCAGCCTGTTCCAACACAGAAGGGATGACCGGTAGGTGATCTGTGACGTGATTCGAGGGCTCGCTCTGCTCGTCGCTCAGGTGATCCTGGTCGATGATGTTGGTGGTCTCGGAGTCCAGCTCCCGAACTTTTTCTTGGTAGAACCTCTGTGCGAGATGTCTCATCTGGGGAAGCTCGTAGCACGTCTCCAGCACCACCAGCACAAACACCAAGCCCAGCAGCAAGTAGACTGGGAGAGCAAACACACACACACACAGACACAATGGAAGCATGACGAATCAAAGACCAGGGATTTATAAGATCACATCAAGGTTTGGTGATTACATAAAGGGTGTAGTAGCTTGCAGTCGTTGCTTTGTTTAACCTGTCAATCAGAAAAGCTAAAGTGGTAAAAGGTGGAAAACATGATGAACATATTACCAATGTGTAACAAAAAATGTCTTACTATTTCACTGTGTTTATTGTCATGTACCAAGCCAAATTCCTTTGTATGTGCAAACATACTTGGCAATAAACCGTTTCTGATATGCTGATATTCTGTTAGCATGCTGATGTTAGCCTTTAGCTCAAGGCACCGCTGGTACAGCCTCACAGAGCAGCTAGCACGGCTGCAGACTCTTCCTCTTGTTGCTTTTTCCCTGTGAAATACTGGATATTTTTTCTTCTCTGGGGCTCTAAAAATCATTCAGTTGAAACATGACAAGCCGTCTTCGGTTGAACGGCTTACAACTCATAGACTTATCCTGATTGAATTGGTCCCCATCCAACAAGGTTGGGAACCACTTGTCTGCAGGATGAGAATACGTAATAATGCTTGAAACCTTTTCCAAATCGATGGGTTAATGGTTTACGTTTTTCTTTTTCTTTTTGGAGATAAAAGGCTTCCACCTGTAAGCAAAGCACTACCTTCAGCCACCTTCCTCTCACCTGTAATGGCCAGCCTGTAGAGCTGTGGGTGTGGGTTGTCCTCTTTACTCTGGATCTCTCCGGGGACATAATCCCCGAGGCCAATGGTCGTCAGAGAGATGAAACAGAAATACAGAGACTCCAGAAAATCCCACTCCTTCTCCAGGCTGACTAAGATCCACGCAGGGATGATGAGGACTAGCAGGACCGTGATGATGGTAAGGCAGGCAGCATGTATGGCGGCTAGCTTTGATTTAGACATGGCCCATCGACGGTGGAAATAGGCCAATGGAAGTCGAGTCACCAGGACCATAATCCTCTGCACCACAACAGTGAGGAAGAAAAGGGTAACTGGGATGCCAAAGAGGGAGTAGAACATGCAGAAGGCCTTCCCTTCGTCTGAGAGAGGAACAGAGTGGCCATAACCTGAAAACACAGCAAAACATGCAGCCTTGCCTTAATTACAGGGGTGGAATAAGAGGTGGGATTATTCTCCAGGACACCCTGTGAAGCTCTACACACGTGTATAACAATAATTATTTATAGGAAAAAAAGCAAAGGCATTATTAACATTTGTAACCCCAGACTCGATAGTAGTGGTGTAACGGACACACGACAACGGCAACATCGGACATGTCCACACATATGAAGAGACACCATCCGGTCTGTCAGCGACGGGGACACTCCGGTGTAGAAAACAAAGGATTTCTAAATCTGGTTAAAATGCTTGAGCCACGCTACGAAATCCCCTCACGCACCCACTTCAGTGTGAAGCTTGTTCCAGGCCTCTAAGAGAAGGAAAAGACTGTGACCGCTTTCACCACGGCGGAGTGGAGATTCATAGTCCGGTGCTGCAGACACGCCCCCTCTGTGACAGTCACACAGGCACACACCTGGTGCAGGTGCTGACAGAAGTATCAGAGTGGAAGCTAGACCACCCAATAGTAATATCACTACAGAAAGGTCTACCCTCTCCCCAGGCAATGTAGATATTCTCATCTTTTTGAAAATAATGTCACAGTAATGGTAAACTTTATTGTCTATTTGAATGACATAACCTGACAGGAAGTAAACATAGACCCAAGTTGTTGCCAAGCAGTTCAGTGTAAACAGTGGAAGCTAGCTCACCGGCTGTTTCTTTCTTTCAATATTGATCAAAGGCTGAGGGTCTCAACATACCTCATGTTGCACTTAAACTTAACAGAATTCTTGAATGTTTTATTTTTATTTATTTATTTCATTTTGTTTCAAATTGGACATCTTCAATATTTTTGTTTTCATGTAAGACTATAGCCCAAAGTTCTTTTCTTTAAGTGTTCTTGAAGTTCTTTAATTAATAAATGGAAAGCAAAGTTATATTTGTCTCCTGCCCTTTTCTCTGTTGATCCGAACCGTGACCCGAACTGAACCGTGAGGTTTGTGATCCTTTGCACCCCTACTCCATAGTATACAATATAGTGTGAAACACATATTTCTTACGGGCTGTCAACATTAATAGCTGCAATGTAACCAAATGGATGAGGATAAACACAATGCTAAAGGGATTTTCCACAATCTGGCAAATCAAAAAGTTGTGAGAAAAGTTTTTTTGGTTACTGGTGTTTAAAGTATAAATGTCCCCATCCACTCTAAAGTGTCTTTTGTTTGTTGTAACTTCACTTTTGGCTCTTGGGCCTTCACGATGCAGAATGATGTGCAGAGTTTGACACCAGAAGCCGGTTTTCACAATCTTCTGCCAAGGGGGAACAGTTTATTTGTGCTCAGCTTAAATCAAATCAAGTTCAACATGTGTACATACAGTAGGCCTACATCAGCAGGATTGTTGGGCTATTCAACTTACACAAGAAGGGATCTTTAACCGAAGGAGGAGACGTCTTTAGTCTATAGAACTTTTGAAGCGGAAAATATCTGGAAAATATGTATATTTGAACATTCTTGATTGAGAGTAGGTGACATTTTAAGAAATTGAAAGAAGTATCTTAGAATTTTTCTTTCAGAAAAAAACATACAAGTGATTATTAAAAGCAGGGTAGCCTATTTTCATAAGCAGTAAGTTACCACAAAAGCCTTTGCATCTCGTGACTTATCAGAAAGTGCTGCCCAATAACAGGAAAAACCACAGTTTGGTGTCCACACCATACAGTTTTGTCTCCCTAGGCCTCACCTGTTGTGGTCAGCACGGTGCTGGTGAAGAACAGGGAGGACACGAAGTCCCAGTTCCGATTGGTGTTGTTACCCAGCACGGTCACTCCGTAATTACTGGCCTCTAGCGCGCGGGCCAGAAGCTCTTCCAGGCGCGCGTCGGACACACAGGTGTTATTGCTCAGGAAGTCCTGCCGGGCCGCCTTCAGCTCCTCACGGAGCTCCTGCTCGTAGGGCTGCTCGATGGCGGAGAAGATCCCGGCGCCGATTATGAGGTAAAGGATGTAACCGACAACCAGCAGCGCAAAATTCAGCGCGGACTGGTGTCGCTCCGCAAACCGAGCGCACCAGCTGTCTTTACAGCTGCGGACCATCCCTCCACTTCCCCCTTAACTCTTTAATGACACTTAATTAACAACAAAGCGCGCTTCAATTAAACAGACAGCAAGCCTGTTGTTTTTTAGCAGTGTCTTCTATCCTCTCTAACCAGTGGATGGCCACGTCTTCCTCATTCTTAATCTCATTGAGACGGGTGGTGACGTCACTATTTTACTGACCCAGGTGTGTGTGTGTGTGTGTGTGTGTGTGTCTTCCTGCACTCCCTCTCCAACCGGTTTATCAGGTTTAGTGTTTTGAGTCATGACAAAGAATTTATTTTAAGCTGAAGCTCAACTCAAGGTGAACTTTTTCAGGAGACAGATTTATTAGTGTAAAACAAAAAAAAGGTTTTAGTTTTACAGTTACACAAAACAGACGATGAAAGTGATGTAAGATAATTTAAAAAAAATAGAGCTGAAAAAGACAAGGAACCAAAACAATACAATGAATGAATTATTTATAAGGGATTTCATAATACGCATTTTCCTGAAATACATAGTTTGGGTTTCTTAACTTGTTCCAGGATGTTTAATCATTAATCTAATGGTATATTAAGAAGTTATCAATTGAATTTGTATTTCCTTTACCAAGTGGTAGCTACTAAGTTACTTGGACTTTACATAAGTGTTTCCATTTTCTGCTGCTGTGTACTTCAATTACAGAGGAAAACATTGTACTTTTTACATGCGTCTGACAGCTGAGGTTAAGATTTTACAGCAAACACTGACAGGGGCCATTCTGTACTGTCCTTTACGTTTTAATAATTTAATATACTTTGTTGACAATGGCCACCTCTGTACTTTTACTTAAGTTTGAACGCATGCATTTAATCATAATGGCGTATTTTTACTGTGTTTACTCCATAAATAAATTACTTCCGCTCATCATTTGTAGTTATTACTTTCACCACTAAGGGGCGCTGGAGACCACATTTCCATAATAGTGTGTGAAATATAACTCCTCAGAAAAGAAAAACAATTGAAAAAAAAAGCGTTTTATTGATAAGTTACCACCAGACATTTGCACAGTGCTTCTCTACTTACGCCATCATGTATATATCCAGCCATCAATCCCTTTCATATCTGGCAATAAATAATTATTTACAACCATTAGCAAATAAAAAAGCCAAGAGAAGTTACAATCAGATGCTGTCTGAGTCTTACAATACAATACCGTCGCATAAAAAGCTGATAGATTGATGATGACTAACTGGTAGTTTTAGCCTTTGCCCAGCCGCGGCTATCAGTTAGTCACCTGGTTTCTCTCTCTCAGTTGTATTAAGAATTTCTGAAATCAACGTGGATCTCTGGTGGGTTGTTGAAGAGCTTCCTGAATATCACACGAAAATAATTCAGTTATCTGAGGAGGAAAAGAAGAAAAACAGGTCACAGATATCGGAGGCACACTTTATTTTTTTGAAGATAAACTGTTTTTTAAACGCTGGAGGACAGAGGCACACCGATCAGATGCACTTTAGACTTCTACTCCACCAAAATTCAGAGGGCAATATTGCACTTTTTACCACAATCATTCACATCAACACACAATCACATTTGATGTCTTTAAAAAAAAAAAAAAAAAAGTTATTATATATTTCTTGTTCAAATAGTTTGGCATCAATATTGTAGTCATATTATAATCTATAATAATGTGACATTGTGCTTTTACTTATGGGTCTGAGTACTTCTTCCAGATGTTCTGACAGGATTTCTTACCTCTGCACTCGTATCTGAGGTCTGAGAAGAGGACGTGTTCCTGAGAGAAGACAAACAGCCCCAGCCTGCCTCCAGCCAGCGTGTGGTCGTAAACCGCCCCAGAGTCGGATAAAATCCCCGTGCCCTCGTACACCACCACCCTGCAACACAACAAAGCCAACATCACCATGTGGATAACTTTTTTTATATAAACGTTCTAACTAACATACATTTTGTTATTTCTGCATGTATTTTCCTTCTGGTTCCATATTTGAACATTTATTGCTGAAGAAAACTGCGAACATGACGTCAAACGGAGCTATATTTAAAGCAGTTACAACAGAGCTGCGTAGTGACAATATATCAATGTGAGTTTGTCCTTCACAAACAAAGAGCAGGAGCCTCTCTTCAGTCTCACATTCAATAATCAGTTAGAACCCAGAATGCAACACAGCCTTGCTTGCATCTCCTGAGAGAAACTTATTTAAGAGTATTTCTGTTATTTGACCAACTGGGTTTGGCACGTCACAGTTTTGCTCTCTTTCCTCTCATTTTTGTCAGCTTAAAAAAACCTCACTGTAGCACTGATGATGTAGATCCTCTCTCCATTTGCACATAAACAGCACAAAGTCCATTAATGTGAATCTTAACTTAAATAGAAGTAGCTGTGGCAGGTTGAGGAGAACCGAAAACAACAAAGAAAGTAAGAATTACGCTGTTATCATAAAATAACTTGGAGATTGATGATATCCTCGAGCGCAAGCACATCTGTGGGGGATTTTTTTGTTCTTCAAAAAGCTGGCACTAAATGTGATTTTCACAAATTTAAGAAATTATTCACCAGATTGCATGCTTCACCAAATAAATTACATTAACCGAACTGGTACTGACTGAGTCCCAAATGTGGGACTTAAAAGACAACACCAGTGTCTTTGCATGTTTGCTGCGAATGAGGTATTTCACTTGGGAGGAGCTGTTGTTCCTCTCAGGAAGACCACACACCTTGGTGGTTTCCTTAATCATAATCCAGCTGTGGTTTATGACAGCTAACATGAAAATATATAAATTCATGTTCCAGGGAGGAGATGCAACCAAGAGAGTAATACTTTAACTCAAAACATCTACAGGTTTGTATCTTAAATGTCCTGTTTGTGATCCTTGCCTATAGAAATACATACAACCACTGTATTTAACAGAGAAATGTTTTCCAGGTAATAATGACAAAACACAAAGGAAAAAGAGTAATTTCTGCACAACTGCTGGATATCTTTGGGCTATTCTCATTCAGGAATCTTTCTTGAATAAATCTAACCACTGTTAGATCCTCCAGTGATAAGAAATGACACGTTATATGATGATGTCTTTGTACCTGATGAACCCAGTCTTGGGTCTGTGGATGAGGTGCATGCGGTAGGCTGTGTAGTCCTTCCAGCCAATTTTATTGGGATCATGCCACAATGTTCTGACCTAAAACAGACACACACACAGATCTCAGGGGGGAGAAAGAAAGCTGAACTTGAGTATCTGATATTTACTGAGCCGGTGTTGAAGGTTGTTTTAGAGAAGGTCTATCTGTTCGAACAAGACATTTAGTGTGATTTATGACGGGCACAAAATAAGGAGCCAAAGTGACTGATTCATGCCTGGTGTCTGGTGTTCCCCGTGTGCCACAGGGCATTGCGTAGATACTCTCCTGGTCCTGTGGTGGAGTTGACCAGTTTAATGGAGACTCCCGCTGTGCCAAAAGCTTTGGACGGCTTTTTCTCCCAGTAGGCCTGAGACACCTGCTCTCATGGAAAGAGAGAAAGAATGCGGAGGATAAAAGTGAGGAACGTCACCGCACAGTCTTTTTATTTCATGCACTTTTTGTTGCCAGTGAGAATTGTAATTTAAAAAGTTTTAGTGCATAGAAGAGACATTTTAAGGAGACTATGGTCAAAGAGATATTTGAAGATGTATAAAGATGGGTAGAAGTTTTGATCATCAATGTCATGTGGCCGCATTCAAACCTCACCTGTTTCCACATGACAACATAGAAGCGTCGACTGGACTGGTAGGCGAACACAATGCCTGCGTAGTCGTCATCTCGGTTGGTATTCACATAAAATGTCGCACTGAAGTCCACTGCACTGAACTTGTCATATCCTGTTTGAACAAAAGGATATTAGTATTAATATACAATACTCTTTTAGGGGTTAAGTGTTCTTTTTGGGGTTTTTTCTCACCTAAAGCGATGCCAGGGTCCGAGTTGGCCGTCTGCAGCAGCTCGGTGCCTTGGCTGCGGATCACCCAGAGAGGCTCAGACTGCGTGGTGCCTTTAGGGTCCAACAAAACAACCTGAAACTTCCTGAAGTCTGTAGACCCGATATCCTGGTTCAGTGGACATGGATCCAGCGCATCTGGAATACTGTCATTGTCAAAGTCATCAAAGCATGCATCTCCGCTCTCATCACCTGCAAGAGAGAAGAATTAGAGATATGATTCCCTGGAGTCATTTTTATCAAGAAGGAGAAAAAAAAAACTGGAAGAGTTAATGTGCAAATGTGAGTAACTCTTGTATGATGGTGGATGAATTAAAGAATCTTTTATTTATGATTAATTACACGACTGAGAGCCATAACCTGTTTGTGTTGATGTCCAACATTAACATGACCTAGATTCACTGGAAACATTCTGGACTGATTTTAATGCATGGCTGCAAAACCCATCTATAACAAATCGTACAAAATATATTTCTCATGCGACAGCAAATGTATCAGCATTTTACTACATCTGCAGAGATATTCTCAGTTATACTGATTCATTTTTAGAAGTTGTTATAGGTGCTTTTGTTTGTTTTGTATAAATGTCCCGCCTAAATATTAGAAATTAAAATAGTAGAAACACCGACCATCAGAGTCCAGCTGGTCCCTGTTTGGCACTAGTCTGCAGTTGTCCCGGTCATCGGGGATACCATCGTTGTCATCATCATGGTCACAGACGTCTCCCTTCCCGTCCTTGTCGTGGTCGGCCTGGTTGCTGTTGGCAATGTAGGGACAGTTGTCCATAGAGTTTTGGTGGCCGTCCTCATCGATGTCCTCGTTGTCGTCACACATGTCCCCCACCAAGTCGCTGTCAGAGTCAAGCTGCAGACACACACAAGATATGTTTGAACGCTCTTAAATCACACGTTTACCTCCACCAGCACACCGACTCTCTGCACAGACCTCCAAGATTTCCTTTTTATGTATTTAAAAGAAAAATCATCCATCCTCCTGATTTATTGCAAGTGCCACTAATAAATTGTTAGAATGGATTTGTTGGATCCCTGTGGTAAAATATGCACCTCATTCCAGATGTTCTGTGAGGCAACGCTGCCACCATCAATATGAAAAATATCTTTTTTTTTTTTCCCCCAGCAGATATATGTGTGCTTTTAAGCATTTGTGGGTTTGTTTGGGAACCTGCAGTGGGTTGTGCAGAAGGGGACAGTTGTCACACTGGTCTCCAACACCATCCAGGTCTGTGTCCCTCTGGTCAGTGTTGTAGACGAAGGGACAGTTGTCCCGGTCATTCAGAACCTCTGGAGAAAGACACACACACACACACACACACGCCAGATAAATGGCATGCCGTTTGGCTTTTAACCCTCTATTACACATAAAAACAAAACACAAAGAGCACTATAAATCAGGACAATGTTTGGGGTGAAATATGTAGTATTGCATTTATATTTAAAGTGTAACTTAACACTAAATCCACTTTTAACACAAGATCTTTGAAAGACCTCCTGAATGTGTCATATTAAGAGGATATTGAGCTATTGAACAGAAGACAGTAAGAACATAGAAGTAGCCGTGTTACTGAGGGCAACTGAGAGTTATAGTCGACAAGCTAATGTCAAGCTAGCAGTTCAGACGGCTCCGAACAGTCGTCTTGGCCGTCAGTGAAGGTGAAGACTCAGGGTTATAGATGGATACATAAAAGATATTTTTGCTCATAGATCCCCATGGAAAGTGACAACAAAACCAATCGATTGAATTGAATCAAAAAAATTAATAATAATGGCCTTAACTAAGCCAACAAAAAGTGACTCAATGTATTCCTCTTGTTTTTGGAAGCATTGGAACAAATGTCTCTATGTCTTTTAATCACTGTGGATTTGTGAACTGCAATGATTATACCTCGGTGCTGGCGTCATCTTATTGTATCTATTCATTCTTTGTTTATATGGACCGATATGTCTGAAATAAAGTTGAATTGAACTGATTATTTGAGCTACCTGTCGGTGCATAATTATGGAGTTCTGTAATAGTTGGATAAAGTAAGTGCATGTTCCAGGCCTGGCGTTGCTCTTACCATCTCCATCAATGTCAATGCTGCAGGCGTCTCCCTCTCCATTGTCATCCGTGTCTGCCTGCAGCGGGTTGCTATCAAACGGACAGTTATCACAGCGGTCCCCGACCCCGTCTCTGTCGGAGTCAAACTGCCGGGGGTTGTACACCAGCGGGCAGTTGTCCTGTGCCAAACACACACACATTAGATCACACACACACACGGGATGTGAATATTTGCAGGTTTTAAGAAAGTTACTCCTAAAAGTTACTCCTCATCTGAGCCACAGTCTCACCCTCTCATCTATGATGTCGTCGTTGTCGTCATCGGGGTCACAGGCGTCTCCCTGTCCGTCTTTGTCCAGGTCTTCCTGTCCAGAGTTTGGTAGTGTGGGGCAATTATCCTGCAGCCAATCACAACTCAGCTTAGTGAAATCCCTTCCAATCAGAACACAGCATAGCAGATCAAGATTTTGTTTGTTATTATTTTACCTTTTGACAGTGATAGGTTGCATTCTGCTTGCAGGTTAATCTGGTGTTGGGCCAGCCGTCCAGATCAGAGTCTTCAGCACACAGGAAGCCGTCGCCAGCGAACCCGACAGCGCACACACATTTGTACAAAACCTCAGACGCCAGGCCCAGGTACACACACTTAGCATACATGTGGCAGGCATGTGTGTTGTCTTTGCAAGGATTGTATGGCTCGCACACCTACAACAAAAACAAATATTTGAGAATACAAAGAGAGGAGAAGTACTTCACACGAAAGTAAAAGTATATTTAAAGAGGAGAACACGTGCCTGCCTGGTTTTCTGGGCCTCCTGCAGTCCGAGGCCGTACGGCTGGGTGCCTTTATAGCGAGGAGGACAGGGCAGACAGTAGAAGCCGGGGTCTGTGTTTACACACTCTGTGACACACACGCTCTTCACTTCACACTGCAGAGATAGAGGGATTAACCATGCTCAGCATATCAAACACCAACAGTAAATACAAAGGTGTGACAGCTGATGTGTACAGGGTCAGACTAGACAAGATTTACTTCTTTCGACATGGACACCATGTCTGGTTCGGTGATCCAGTGCCTTCAGTTACAGGCTGGAGGTTGAACTCTGACCCATTAAAGCTCTTACAATCATGCATGATGTGCAAAGGTGATTAAGTAGGACCATAGAGAAACTTCTAAAAAAATAACTGTACAACTTGGGATTGGACGATACATTATTTTACCATGGATTTGCGATAACAAACACTCCCTAAACACTGGGCAATTTGAGTTTTAATTCTATTTTGAATATTATCGGGATAATGACATGACATTTTCATATCGCCCCATGCCAAGTTACAATCTCAGGTGTCAGTGCATATCGTAGATGTTGTCACACTAGGCCATTGAGGTTAAGAGTTTAACTGCGCACCGATGAGTGATTATTACCTCGTTCTCATCTTCACAGTGAGTGCCGTTTCCATTTAAACCCAACGGACAACGTCCACACTCCCATGATCCATCGCTGTGTGATGTGCATTCCACTCCAGGGAAACATGGATTTGAGAGCAAACATGCATCTGGAAAAAGCACACAAATGTGCATATCAAGGCAAGGAACAGTCCAAGATCACATTTATATTTGAAAAATGTGTCTGTCCCGTCCTGAGCCTCGATAATTGAATAAAGGCAGAAGAATCGCTGTGGGATATTATTTTTTAATCCTTTCTTTGTTTGAAAATATGAATCATCCAATAAAAAATGATGAGGTTTTGCATGTATGTGAGGCTTAGCCTACTTATTGGATAATATCTGCTTACACAGTTAGATGTAGCTACAGCCTGAGGATTGTGGACTGGGTTCAGTTTACCTATAGGACATGGTTGTTTGTTACATGCTTCATAGTCCACAGCGTCTCCAGCACAAGGCTTGCCACCGTGCTGAGGTGCCGGGTTCAAACACTCCTGCTGGCGACTTGTAAGACCTCCGCCACACGACTCTGAGCACAGTGACCACTCAGTCCAGCTTGTCCAGCCTCCAGGAACTACACACAAACACATTGTTTACCTGTAAGCCAGCTAAGTACCACAGTGCAGTGTGTATGTGTATGCGTAAACTCACCGGGGCAGAGCGTATTGTTGCATGGCTGTTTCTCCCTGGCGCTGCCCGTGCACCCTCTGCCCCCCTTCTGTGGCGGAGGGTTGTTGCAGAGACGAACCCGTGTGATGCTGCCATGTCCACATGTGGTTGTACACGTAGACCAAGGAGACCAAAGGCTCCAGTTCCTGTCAGGACGCACTAAATATGAAACAAGCACATAAAGATTGTAAAAAGTCCAGGGTTTTTTTGCACAAAAGTCTGAGCAGAATTCAACACAGACCACCACCACCACGGCACCACACTGTGTATACAACAATATGTTTCCAATTATGATTCCAATCTCTAAAATCTATTTATCTGAAGTTCCACACTTTGGTGCTCTTTCGTGGAATATTCAATTTGTTCCCTCGGACCGGCCAATCAATCACAAAAAAACAAAACAAATTAGACTGAGGACGTGTGACAGATGAGACATGCAGAGTGATGTCCTACCCTTGCGGTCACACTTCATCGGCATGCAGCTGCGGGTTTGGACTGACGGGCCGGCACAGGACGGCTTGATGTCATTGCATGATCGGCCCCTTTGCTGCCCTCCACGTCCACAGGTGACCGAACAGTGGGTCCACTCAGACCACGGGGACCAGCCGCTTTCATTATCTTTAAAACCACGCACACACATACACCGTCGGTATGCCTTTGTCAAATGTTGTGCTCTTTACACACGTTGTCAGCTCTAAATCATAGTTGCAGACAAACAACACTCACTGAGACAGACAGGGCAGCACTCTCCTTCGATAAAGGATGGATAGATGCAGGATACAGGAGCGCAAGACACCTGCTGACACACCACCTTTCCATCCTACTCAAGGTGAGAAAGATATACACACACGTTCAGCATTTTAAACAATAGCATCTGCCAAACCGTGTTAGTTTGAGCCAGATGTTTTGCTAAATGCCAGTCCTTGCAGATTAATGATGAATAGTATGCTGTCATGGCTCATAGTTTGGCTACTCCCTCAATCCATCCTTGATAAAACTAATGACATTCTATGAAGAGAAACTGGCATGAAACAGAGTGGAGGATGAAGCAAGCATGAAATACCGGAGACTAACAAAGGCGGCTCTGAAAATAAATGAAACCACATTGGATACAAGTGAAACGTACCGTAAGTATCTCCCACACTAGTGAGTAGATTTTTAAGGAATTGTGGAAAATATGCTCACTCGCTTTCTTGCCAAGAGTTAGATCTGATACCGCTCTGGAGGGTGGGATCAATCTTCTCATCAATATTACAGCCGTAGGATTCTTTGACTTTTTTTGTTCCAGGATTTTAACAGTCAAAGTCAAACCTTGAGACTTAATGTTATGACTTTCAAATCCCAAGCAAGTCATGCTTCAGTCTGTTGTCTATCAACGAGACTTGCATGGCACTCTCCCAGCAAACACTTCACTACTAATATTTCAGAGTGCAACAGTAGTTCAACACTGACCTGGCAAACACAGAAGGTGCAGCTGTCAACCTCCCAGTCCTCCCCCTGCTCGTACACCCGTCCATCCTGCATACACCAGATCTCCCCGACTCTGTCAAGATCATTGATGTCACCGCTGCCACCGCTGAGGCTGCTCCTGCTCCTGCTCCTGATCCTGTTGCTGCTGCTGCTGCTTTTCCAGTTTCTGCTGTTGTTGCTGCTGTTATTGCTCAGCTCAGCCAAAGATATCCGCATCTCTCCATTTTCTTTTGACTGAGAATCCAAAAACAGAAAAATCATTATCAGAACTACATTTTCTATGTAAGAGTCTATATTTTGGCTGGTATTGTTTTCCCCTTGTGAGTCTGTGTGTGTCATCAAGGTAAACGTGGTCCTGGAGACACCTACTGTAGCGGGAACTACCACAGAAGAGGCTTTGAGTACTCTGCCAGGTGTTTCTATATGTGGACAGATTTTGTCATTGCGATAGCATCAGAACCACGCAGGATGCAGTCACGAAACTTTACAGGTGTGTAGTTGAGATCAAAATGAAGACAGAGTTCGAAGATGGGTGTGGTCTGACCAAAGGCGCCAGAAGCAGGGGGGTAAGATGTGGGGAAGGGGCCATTGCCCCCCACCCTTGGCCTGATTTGGCGTTCCAGCTGGTGTCATCCCATCACAATATGGTCTCTAGTGTATCAAGATTTGACCTTTATTAGTATACAGAGATCTGTTGTATGTAAGTAGATTGGCAGCTGAGTTGAGTATAGCAGCCAACATTTTAAGTCTGATGGTATTCTTTCTGCATGCTTTTTCCCCCTCAAAAATCACCAGGACATTTACCACAAACCACAGGGCTCCCTGCCAGAAAAAAAGATGTTGCTGCTTGTTCCATTTGCTCTGGAAGAAGAGCTACTCTCGGTTGGTCTTGTCACGCAAATTTCCCATAAAACTCAACCCCGTCAAATACAATTTAAAGCACATTGAAGACACTGGTAGACTTTGACAGTGCTTTCTGTAATTGTTTATTCAATCACTAAAAATGAGAACAATGCTTTACTGATGTTAAAATGTTACACGTAACACCTTTATTGGGCATTTTAAAAATCTCCATAAAATTTTCTAAAATGTTTTTCAGCTCAAATCCAATTTCCTGGTCATGCCATATCAAAAATAAACGTAGCATCAGAGAGGTAACATTAACAAAAAATGCCCAACATGCAGATGATACATGCGCATTGGTGTATTTGTGTGTCTTACTACTCTCTCCAGGTCTTCAAGCAGGTTACTGGTCACAATACGCAGGCCGTGGATCTCGGTGAGCAAGCCCACCAGCTCCACGCATGGATGACGACAGACTTCTGACGACACATTGTCGACCTTTGCACCACCCACACCTGTAAAGGAGGCACAAGCATGTGTGAAGTCTGTGGTAGGTTTTATACTTAAGTTAATGATGGAGAAAAAGAGGTGAGGAAACTGTATTTGTGCATATATTTGATTGCATTTTATACTGTGTGTGGTACCTGAACACACAGCTGCTGCAGAGAGGAATATCAAAAGCCAGGGGAAACCTCTCAGCGGACTCATTCCTGTACACGCATAAATCACATACGCAGTCACAATGAAATACACCACCTATACTGCTACACAACTACACAATACAAGCAGGACTGCTGCCAAGGAGATATAAGAAGAAGAAAAAGAAGATAAAGAGGGAATTAACCTTGCATACCTGCGTATGTTCCTCGCTGTTCAGCCATTCTCCACGATTAGAAATCACGGCTGGTTGTCTCATCCACGCTGCAGCTCCACAGGGGCTTTGATGGAATGTCTGTCTCCTCGTCTTCTTCCTTATTTCCTTGTCTCCTTTTCACCGGACTGAGGCTTATCAGCACAGCTTCCCCAGTAGTCCAAAAGAAATAGGTTGGAAAGAGGTTGTTGAGAGGGAAGTCTGAGTGAAGAACATGCAGACAGCTCAGTTAGTTCTGTAGAAAGTTCTAATATGGTTAGGTATTTGTTTGAGAGTGAGAGTGTGTGTATGTGTGTGTGCATGTGTGTGTGTGTGTGTGAGAGGCAGGAGCCATATATTACCCGTCTGTCTGGCGATGAACTGGGCTGCATATCTCCCAGCGAGAAACCCAGCTGGATGGAAGAAACTTGTGTGTGTGTGTGTGTGTAGATGCAGGTTTCCCAAACACAGCACTTACACTCTTCACTCTCCAAACTAAGACACACACGAAAACATGCACTCGCACGTTGACACACACACACACACACACACACACACACACACACACACACACACA